TTTGGTTTTTTACGACAACAGTATTTGAATGAAATATACATTTCAAGAATGAGACTAATAGTTATGGTTTGTGGTAAATAACATGAAAAGAAATAAATTAAGTAATCTATTTTATAAAAATTACGAGAAGATTGCAAACCAAATGAATATGAAAAATCCTTAAGTCGACTGTAACGTATAAACTTTTTTTAAAAATTAATTTACAAGTCGTGTTATTTAAATTTATTTAGCTCAAAACAGCACAAATCAAATCTATATTCGTTTTTAATGACGCAAATCCTGTATTCCATTTTATTTTAAGAATGAAACAAGAAAATTTTTTCGAATGGAAGAAAGCCTCAATTTCAATACAGACAATTAAGGCCAACAAAAGGTGATTTTTTTTCTACCCGTTAATGTGAACATATTTTGAATTGGTAATCTCGTATCTTGTTTTCTATTTATCTGGCCTCCTTATGTCGCAGACAACAAATTGTGAACTTGCTTTTTCTCTTAAGTTCAATAACCGAACATAAAAAAAAAATCCTAAGAATCACGTTTTTCTAAAATAAATGGAAATAAATACATTAACCAATTTTTATTTATTTTTTCCAATGCAAAAATTAAAGTAATATTACAGTCTATTTCGTTAAGTATAAAAAGAAAAAGTTTCCAGCTCTAAAGAAATAAAACAATTTCGAGAAAATGAAATCTCACGATCGTTTTTATTTGTTTGTTATGTACATAAAGGAACACTTAAGAAAATGGACATAAATAGAAATTTCCTTTGAAAAAACAGACACGTCACATAAAGTGATAAAGGAAATGGACTATTCCAACGAAACATATTTTCCAGCAGTTAGAAGAAATTTTTGAAGCAAATACAATTTTTAAACCTTTTCCGGTACTGTCTAGTCAGTCTGGCGACACTAATTCAACAAAACCTCTAAAAATGTAAAATTAATTTATTTTAAGCGTTCAACAACTACTATTCGTTAAACAAAGAGCTTAATTATGTCACTTAAGTTTAGTTGACACGTGTGCTGCCTGGCTAAAATTATTAATCGAAATTTGCTGCTCCAGAAAGTATTAATAATTAAAAACTTTATAAATTATCTATTTGACCTTTTACGTGCTTGCTTAGATGGATGATTGGTTTAAATTCGATTACATACCTGACAACGTTCACTCTTTCTGAGAATGTATTTTCCAAGTGTAAATTTGTTACCGATAGTAATATAATTACCAGAAAAACAATTTTACTAAAAAAAATATTTATTTAAGTTATGTTTGGGATGAAATTCGCTGTAATAGTGAATATTACGCTTTTATATATTTGTTGTAATTATATGTATATAGTGGTAGTCAAACTCATTTATAATTATTATTATAATTCAGAAAGTGTGATGGAATAACACGAATTGCGCTATTACTTTAAGAAAATGAAATCTTCCAGGAAAACCGGAAGAGTTGGCACCTATGCTATTTCTAATTAATAATGTATAAATGCAAATCGTTTGCTACCACTAAAAAATTATTTTTTGAAAGTACGAAATTTTTATTGTTGATTTCTCTCAAATTTAGTCCTTGCAAATAACTAATAGAAAAGTTTTTCTATTTACTTTATGTTGTACATACTTAATCGATTTCAAATTATCTTGACTTGTAGTGCTTTCGATTAATGTTTTGACTCTTAACCTTCGCTAAACAATTTAAATCCTGAGTTCTCTAACCTCTTTTACTACAACTTAAACTTTTGATCTCATAACTTACTATTTATATGTCTTCTTAGAATTTCTTTCGATGAATCACTAAGTGGCACTTTGCGACAAATGACGAGATCTATATCTAGCATCCAGAGATGGCACATGCTATTATATATGTAAAAAGTGGTAGAAACTCAATAATTTTTTTTTATTTATTATTTCTTTAATTAATCAATCGTAACTATCACTATGATTTACACTTCAAATTATTCTTATTTTAACACAATCATTTATTGCATGCACTTTTAATTATAAATTGAGAAAAAATGTGTTAGAAAAAATCGCTAATATCGCTATCTTTAACCCCTTGGGGACGGGTGATTCAGAAAAGCATTCGTACAAAATCAGAATCAAGTTGCAATTAAATAAAAAACGGTAACTTAAATGTAGTCGTTACTAATTTGACTGACCTACTTTGCTTTTATTTTAATTATTGTTAGTTTAATCATATATATAATCAATGTTAATTCAAAGTATAACTAANAAACTCAATAATTTTTTTTTTATTTATTATTTCTTTAATTAATCAATCGTAACTATCACTATGATTTACATTTCAAATTACTCTTAATTTAACACAATCATTTATTGCATGCACTTTTAATTATAAATTGAGAAAAAATGTGTTAGAAAAAATCGCTATCTTTAATAAAAGTTTGAATTTTATTAGTCACCCCTTTTTGAGTTTTTTAGTCTCCCGTGGCAACCCTGTAATAAGATAACGAGGCTTAGATTATTTCTACTAGTCTAGACTAGGGGTGCAATGTATCTGGGCACCTGGGACGTCAAGCGGCCCCTATCCCATTCATCTTGAATCTAAGTTCAGTTTGTGTTGAATCTTTACGGTCAACAGGCAGTGAGGTTGCTGTATATTCGAAAGATAAATAACAGAAACGTTCCATTCGTCTACTCTAGCCCCCTCTTTCCATTTATACATGAAAATCAGATTATTAAATTAAAAGTCACTAACGAGTTCTCTGTCTTTTTTTTTCTTCTTTTTTTGAGAACGTTCTTTTTTTCGTTCTTCTACTTCTCACGTGATATTATGACCATGCGTGAACAGGGTAAAAACTGAATAGAAAATGTAGTAAAAGCTCTTTATAACGGCACTTATCTATAGCAGATGGAATTGTCGGTAGAGCAAGCTTATAGCTATACGCAATACTGATAAAGTTAAAGTAGCAGCAAGAAAAAATACTCAAATTTAGTAGTCCGCAATAGCTTAAGATGTCTATATTTACACTAAATATTGATTTCAGTAGTTAGCAGTCAGAAAGGGAAGTATGATATATAGATAAGTGACCAACAAAGGGAGCATTTGTAAGTGTATTGCAGGACTCCTTAAATAACAGAATACTTTTTCTTTAGTAAGGCGGAAAATTGCATGGCCGGTGGTCGCCTATAGTGCGGCTTTGAGAACTCCTCCAGGCGAAAAGTCAGGGACTGTCTGCTGCTATGGTAACAGGCGAGAGCACATTTCTAATGGAAAGAAATGGAGAAATGATGGTATTGATTGGTTTATTCACGCTGACCTATGCGAAGATCACGACAAAACTATTCATCCCACACCCCTATTCGAAGTGACTTTCCCTCGTAACCATGGTACCAGCCACGACGCGAGACTGATGTCATGAGGAGTTCTCCTGAAAGCCGCACTATACACATGTTTGCTATAAGTTAGGATTGTAAGAAGGAAATGAAGTGAAATAATATTCTATTATCCTTTTTCTATATTTATACAAGAAATAGGTAAAAATGACTTTGCCTACTTTTGCATAATTTGGTTGGCTTAACGGTCTCTTTTCCTAAAAAAGGGGGGGGGAAGTGATAACACAAGTTGCTATATTAAAAGGTTTGTTTTGTAGAAACAATATAGTTAATACTAGTCTATCATAACAGTTGAATGAAGTCAAATTTCACTACTTTTTAAGGGTAAAGTGACAGATAACAGAAGAAAAAAAATTTATTAATTTAGCATTAGTAAATAAGTGTTTTCATTTTGGTGTTTTTGATACGTAGTTCCCTTTTGTTGTGGCTGGGCTTTAACGGGTTAAACTGAAAGCCTTCTTAAAACATATGCTTGAAAATTCTTAAACATGACAACTAAATTTCGGCATATTTAATCAGTTCTTGTGAGAAATACAGATATCGCAAGCTAATTGAAGAATGCAGCTCTTTGCTAATGGAATAAAACATACGTTGTTTTACGATGCTTCAGATTTATAGGAAAAGTTAAATGTTTCTCATAATAAAACTAAACTAAACTCAGTGACGCGACAGCCCATAGAGGGCCAAGGCCTACTGTGCCTATCTCAGTTTTCTTGACCTTGGGCTCTGGGGTGCAAGAGCAGATGTTCTGGTTAGGTGGTCAGCCGAACGCGCAAACCTCAGTGTTTATTTCCCAAGCATGCTTGATACTCATTTATCGACCCACTGATGGGATGAAAGGCTGAGTCAAATCTGAGTCTGAGGTCCGAATTTAGCGTGTGTAAATATGGCTCCATTTTTTTAAAAAGGTTCAAGCATGATTTTTCAATTGTGCGAGGAGTTTTGCCATGCAATGCCTTTCAAAACATTTGCTGCTGTAACAAAGATAGTTTACATAGTGTAGGTAAAGAAGTGCTTTTACATTTTTGTCCAATCCCTGCAGTAAGAGCCGGGGTGACTTGGGGGAAGGGGATAGAGCACCAAATAGATAGACAATAAAAAAGATAGACGAATTATGTACACGTCGGCTGGTTGTTTCAAATTCCGTCCGAGGTTTGCACCGACCACAGTGCTGACGTAAAATATCCTCAGTGGTAGGCGGATCATGGGTTAGAATCCCTTTGTCGTCAGGCTAACCGTGGGAGGTTCTCGTGGCCTTCTTCTCCATGTAACGCAAATGCGGGTTAATTCCACCAGAAAGTCCTCCATGAAGACAAATTTCTCAAAATACTTGATCCAGGAGTCCCCTTGTTTTCTGGATTGGGTTCAAAATTACAAGGCTACGGTGTTAGGCACTAGAAGTCGTAAACCCAAGAATTGGGTCGGCAGTTCAACGACCATTATAAAATAAAATAAAATCCTTCAGTAAATAGAGGGAATTAAACAATATAAAAATAAGACAAATAAACTAACCTAAAAATGTCTGTGCTCCCCAGAATATACAAAAAGAAAAATGGGCTATACTTTGTGCTGTTATGTAGACTAAAGAATTGATTATTTTATTTATCATTATAATTTACTAATTTTCATTTTTTACAATCTTTTCAGTTGTGTGTGTATCAAAATTGAAGACGTGTATGTATAGTTCCAAAGAAAACTCAACAGAACGAGTTAAAGATCTTCATGATAACTTTAACATCTATACTAAGCGAGGAGACAAAAATTTCACAGGTAAATATTTAATCAATCAAAAACTTTTAAGAACAGTATTGATTTCATGTGTTCGAGAAATTCAGGACTGCATTCTACACTTTGGAGGAAAATTTTCTTCTTTTGATAGTTAAGTTTAATGCAGGACTGCCAACTAGTACTCTTTTTTCAAAATATTTCATAGAGCAAATTGGCAATTAAAAACTGAAACTTCAGATATTTTGCCAACATTTTAAAAGCCACACCACGAGGGAGCTGGAACAAAGTGGCATTTCGTATGAACTTTTGAATCATTTGCAAGTGGGGTGAAAAATAACATTGAATCAAATTAACATAACAAAAAACATAGATTGAAACATAAACGTAGAAGACTTTTTTTTCATTTCTTAAAGCGTAGAGAGATGGCAGCCCTGTTTAATGTATGATTCTTTGTTTTCTGAATACGATTTAAAGTGATTCTCCACTACACTTCGATAAAATTATTCACGAGTTCATTTGAAACGCCATTTTATTCGAGCTCTCTCGTGGTCAAGTCAAAGAATAACTTGTATATTCTTTGGTCCAGCTTTCAAAAGGTTGACAAAGTTAGCAAAATTTTTGAAAGCTTTAGTTTTTAATTGTCTACTACTCTATAAAATATTTTGTAATAAGTGGTGTAGTTGGCAATTCTGCGTGTTTTTTTTTTCTTTTTTAATTTTTTTTTATTGTCTATCACTCTATAAAATATTTTGCAATAAGCGGTGTGGTTGGCAATTCTGCGTTTTTTTATTGTCTATCACTCGATAAAATATTTTGCAATAAGCTGTGTAGTTGGCAGTTCTGTGTTTTTTTTTATTGTCTATCACTCGATAAAATATTTTGCAATAAGCTGTGTAGTTGGCAGTTCTGTGTTTTTTTTATTGTCTATCACTCGATAAAATATTTTGCAATAAGCTGCGTAGTTGGCAGTTCTGTGTGTGTGTGTGTGTTTTTTCTTTTTTTTTTTCATTGTCTACCACTCTACAAAATATTTTGCAATAAGCTGTGTAGTTGGCAGTTCTGTGTTGTTGTTTTTTTTGTCTATCACTCGATAAAATATTCTGCAATAACCGGTGTAGTTAGCAGTTTTGCGTGTTTTTCTTATTATTATTAATATTATTGTCTACCACTCTATAAAATATTTTACAATAAGCTGGGTAGTTGACAGTTCTGTGTGTGTGTGTTTTTTTTTATTATTGTCTATCACTCGATAAAATATTCTGCAATAAGCTGCGTAGTTGGCAGTTCTGCATTTTTTTTTCGTTTTTTTTTATATTGTCTACCACTCTATAAAATATTCTGCAATAAGCGGTGTAGTTGGCAGTTCTGCGTTTTTGTTTGTTTTTTACTGTCTACCACTCCATAAAATAATTTACAATAAGCGATGTAGTTGGCAGTTCTGTGTTTTTTTTTTTTTTTTTTTTTTTTTTTTTTTTTTTTTTTTTTTTTTTTTTTTTTNTTTTTTGGACTTGTTTATGATAAGACCGTTCTGATAAAACGTGACACAGGCTCTTAACCCCTTAGGGACGGGTGATTCAGAAAAGCATTCGTACAAAATCAGAATCAGGACGCAATTAAATAAAAAACGGTAACTTAAATGTAGTCGTTTCTGATTTGATAGACTTACTTTGCTTTTACTTTAATTATTGTTAGTTTAATCATATATATATCTAACCAATGTTTATTCAAAGCATGACTAAATAGTTTTATTTTGAACAAAGTAATGGTGAATTAAATAAATCAAACAATTATAACTCCGCCCACAAATAAACTGCTAAAGAATCATTTTCATTACCAGTTTTATCTTTTTACCCTGGTTGATACGGTTTTATAGCTGGCACATATTTGCGACAGTCGGCGCGAAAGGGTTAAACTCGTACGCTTCATCGAGGACCAATAGTGTAAGATCTGTTTCTATATTTAAAAGGAAACATTATTTTCTAATGAAATGCTTTGATTTATTATCAATAAATTACGAGTGCAATCTGTTCTTCTGGAGAGAAGACATTGCAGTCATGGGCAGGAGCAATGCCTCCTATAACTGAAAGCCTCCACACGGTTTTTTATAGGTAGTCCGATCAGACCACTGGGAAGGAGATCCCCTTTTCGAACGAGTCAATTAATACAAAATCTAGTTAAAATAAGAAAATGGTAACAAATATATGACTAAAAATTTGTTTAATTTATGAATATAATCGGTTTGCCTTATTCACTTGTCAACCACTACAGATTCAATTCTCAAATATACATGATAAATTTCTCTCAATTACTTTTATAAAAGGTTTTGGGTTCATGCGCACAACTGGTTCACTTTTTAAATAGTCTGCGCGGACTACTTAGAAAAGACCGTGTGGAGGCTTTTTGATGCAGGAGGTTATTGCAGGAGCGATTTTTATCAGTAACAACTACAATCAAATCGTTAATAATTCTAGCGGCACTTAAATGAAATTCTTGCAAGATTCTTGCATTCTAATATCATAATAGAAATTAATATTATTAAAGAATATTATTATATATCTTTATTATTAAAGAACCAAAATATGAAAGAATTTAAATTATAGTAAAAAATTAAAGAATCAGAAAATTTTATTTATGTTAAAATGGTTTAAGGATGCTTGAAAAGCCTTACTTGCCAGTCTCTTTTCGGCCTCTCTGGACACAGCTTAACCCCTTAACTTGTGCGCTCGAGTTAAATCGAGTACGCTGAACGGGCTAAACTGTGCACACTAGGGATAATTCGAGCGGCGTTGTATTTCATGCTGCCATAATTTTTCACAGTCGAATATAATCGAGAGTTGAAAATAACAATGTGAAAGCTACGAAAAAAAATCGTTTTATTGATATTAATCATTTACATAGGATTGTAAGCTATAACACTTATTTATTCAAGAATAAAATATAGCCCTTTTCCAAGGAACAAAACGCTATATTTGCAGGCTATACAAGGTTATATTTCTATTCTTTCCAGGCTATATTTCTAGACTATATAAGGCTATATTTCTGGGCTATATTCCAGACTATAAAGGTTATATAAAAGGGTATATCAAAAATTTTCCACCAAAAGAAAAGTTGAACCAGAAGCGGCAACAAATGGAAACCTTGTTCTAAAGTGTGTTTTTTTACATTAAAAAAAAAAATTTTTCTTTTGGCCGGTTTTTTTCAAAAAATCTGTGCGTTAAGGGGTTAATTTTTCTTAGCCAATGTTTCATTTCTCTTTACATGGTTTTTCGATGAGTTGTCGCCAAGGCAAATAAAAAAAAAGCCATAGTTTATATGCCTTACACTTGAAGCAAAACAATGATTTTAAACAAAGTGCATCATCTTGCTGTGAAGAGTTATCTGGGATTTAGAACAGACGAATGAATTAAATATTTTAAAAATTATTAAACTTTATTTAAAAAATCGCCATTTTGGCGATTTTTTACACCTAGAAGACATTTTTCCACCTAGAAGAAAATTATTAAAACCACTGCCTTACTCTTAGTTTCTGCAAATTTTATAGAATTTTTATTTTATCATTTATTTTCCTGAAGTTATTCCTTTAAGTTCCCTTTAAGTTATTTATAAGAAGTGTTACACTTAGTTTAAAAAAATCTAAATCTAAGTCTAATTAAGTTATTTAAAAAAATTGATCCACTAGTTTTGCTACCTCTAGGAAAAGTATTTTCTGAAACTACGAAAATTCCGTAGTAGTTAGAGGTTGTACATATAAAACTGAAATTTTCTGACTTTGTTTTACAGACGATGAAGAAGCGTTTAAAGAGAGCCTACCTGATTTTAACAGCTGGGTTGTTACAATCTCCAGTCTTTCCTTAGCTGCTATGTTCGCTATAACAGGAGGTGTGTTTGCTATAGTCAACGCTATTCGTAATTCTGCAGAATTAGTATTCGGGTTCTTAGGCATCGGTATTTGGAACACGTTTGGAGGTAACATTACTTATTTGTTTTTTAACTAGATTTTTTCGCTTTTAAAATGTGTAGCTTCAAAAGTTCGGTAACTCTTAAATGAAGGATCTAATCAATCTTTCATATATCTTCGTCGGAACAAAAGAAGTACCTCGATCAACAAGAAAAAGTAATCTGTTTTATTCAGGAGAAAAATAATTAACACTTGGAATCCAGTACAGGGCGGCTTTGAGGAGAACTCCTCCAGTCTGAAAGTCTGGGGCAGTCTGCTGCTATGGTAACAAGCGATAGCACATTTCTAATGGGGATGAAATGGAAGAAAAAAGGTGTCGATTGGTTTACTTACGACGACCTACGCTAAGATTAAGACAAAACTATTCACCCCACACCCCTATTCGAAGTGACCTTTCCTCGTAACCATGGTACCCGCCACGGCGCGAGACGGGTGTCTGGAGGAGTTCTTCTGAAATCCGTACTATACACAAATGAGACAACGAAAAAAATATGACAACCAAAGCTGACGTCTTCAGGGGGCACCAGCTCCGGAAACAAAACCTTTTCTATCAAGAGAGCAAGACAAAAGTCTAAAATTGCTACCCTCTGTGTACCCCAAATGTTTTGCCAGAGTCCAGGAAAAGAATAGAATCCATAATATACAACATAAAATACAGAAGAATATAATATAAAATACAGTAGCAAATACAGAAGAATAAAAACAAGAAAAATACATAAGAGTGGTACGAACGAAAGCTTACAAGTACAAATCCAACAACTAGATAACACAACTGACTGCGAGACACAACTAAAATAAAATAAGCATAAAAACAACGCCCCTTAACCTGCGCAGTTTAAGGAAAAAAGTGAAAGAAAGGACACAGGTTAAGGAGAAAAGGACAGAAGGGAAAAGGATAGAAAAGGGAAAAGGACAGAAGTTAAGGAAGTAGTGACCGTACTATACACTTTTCACTGATATTGTCAAAGACTATATCAAAGCTTAAATTGTTATCATATTAATTTTAAAAAAACTTTTGGTTTATTATATTTTATTTCAAAATTATATAGACAGATAATTTAGTAGAGCACTATGGTCCATTTGCTGTATTTTTGAAATTCATCCTGATATTCATTCCTGAAGTAAAGCAATGCAGTACTGGGAGACAAACGGATTCGGTTTGAAAAGTTCCCAGTTAGAAATTACTAGAACCCATTGGCCAATTAGAATTTAGTAGAATAAATTGAACAAAATTGCAAAATATAGCTTGTTTAGGGGATAACAGGAAAATGATAAATAGGAACTTGAGAAAGAAATGTTCTGATCAAGATAATGAGAAGCGAAAAATACAATACATTTACGTCGCACTAAAGCTGCACAATGGGCTATTGGCGACGGTCTAGGAAACATCCCTAAGGATGATCCGAAGACATACCATCACAATTTTGATCCTCTACAGAGGGGATGGCGCCCCCGCTTAGGTAGCCCAACGACTTACACGCGAAGTCGAGCACTTTACGGTAGAACAGTTTAACGAGGACCAGTACCGCACATCCTGGGGATAAACAAGGAAAGTCAATCTCTTGAGAAAATTATAATAACCTCAACTTCCATTTTTTGGAGGGAAATGGAAGTAATTTGAGAGGGAGAAGTGAATTCCTTCTAGACGGGAAAATGAGGCATCGTTTTTGATGTATTTTTCATGAATAATAACAATCACAAGACGATCGGAAGAATAGTTTAGAAGTTATATATATATATACTCTGAATATATATATCCAATCTGAATCTATACTCACCGAATATATATATCTAAACAGGCGAAATATTGTTTACTGTGTATTTTTTATGATGATGAGGAAACTATTCATGAATATGTATAGTTTCATTCTCAGCATAAAACATACATGAAATACACATTCGTGAGTAAAAAAGCATAAAAATGGATATTCATAAGACTATACTTGAACAGTATGAGAATGGAACGATACAAAAAACTGCTCGCAACTTTTGAACGAAGAATTCCAAATTACGAGCAGTTCAAATGTGTAAAAAATATATATATATATATATATATATATATATATATATGTTC